CCCCAAAACCCCAAAACCCCAAAACCCCAAAACCCCTACTCCTCTGTATTTATTGATCTCCAATAATATAGTTTTAATATGAACCAAACCATACCCCAAAAAATGTCTCTAAACCCCCAAAATCCCTCCAGCCCCCTCCTCGCACCCACTCAAAGATCAACCAAACTCTTCCCACTCCTCTCCATCCTCCAGTCAGGATGTTTCCCTGGTCTCAAGATCCTAATTCTTCTTCCCACTTCCAAAATCCCCATTAAAAATCTCCAAAACAGCTTTAGCCCAGTTGAAGCAAGCTCTTATGGCTTAAGTCCTTACTGGGGGAGTCCACTGACAGCTGTGACTAAGAGCTGTGATGTGGGAGGGAGAGGGGAGCTGGAGATACCAGGGTTTTGGATCAGAGAGATTGAAGCAGAGGAAGGAGGAAGGGAAAGTGGGTGGAAGAATTGGGCGAGAGAGTTGGTACTCCGTTTAGATCCACAATACTACCAAAATCTCTATCACAATCTAACCCACGGGAAGAAGTTAAGAGGAAGGCCTAGAGACATCAAACAAACCTCCCCTGAAATAATGTGGAATAAAATAATTACCAATTTTAAAGATAGAGTAGCCAAAAGAAAGAAAACTCAAAAAAAAGTATCTAGAATAGATGCTCGGAACACTACAGCATGAAGGGATTTCAAGAGAATAGTAGAATCCATCCTCAAATATGTTGGGTCTAAGTGACGGTATAAGTCTAAAAACGAGAAGGACTATATCGATTCATATACAGAAGCATTCACTGTGGGATTTCTTCCAGTTATAGATTCTTACACAGACTTTTCTCTATATTCCATGAACCCATTTCTCAAGATAGAATGCCCTCTGGATGAGCGATCTGGTTCTTTCAAGTTTACTAAGATCAACACCACTCACAGAGATTCTAATAATACAAACCACATTGATAAGATAGCCACAAGTCAGCTAATAAGCACCAATATCACTTATGGCGATGCTTACATTGCGAACAAAGTTAAAACTTTCTGAGAATTCATTGTCCTTTCCTACCCAGAAGCTAAAGTCAAATGTATTCTTGACAAATGAAGGAATGAATGAATGCTAACAGAGCAAGAGCATGCAAGCTTGGTGAGCCAGCTGAAGGCAAGAAAAAAGTCATCAATTGGAAATTTTAGAAATCTTGCAAAAGAAAATTCCTGATTTAAAAGTATCTTATGGAGATTTTGGCAAATGATACCTCAGATGGGATTAGACGATGAAATGTGGTATAGAAGTGTGCTAGAGAAGGTACTTGATACTAAACAGATGATGCCTTTGTTCACTATTGAAAAAAGCAGAACTCAGAGCCATAGCGGCTCTGTAACTTCTGTATGCTAGTAGTTTTAATTCAAATCTTTCTTTTAAGTAATTTTCAGAAAGTAACTTTCCATTTTACAGGATATTAAGAAACTAAAAACTGTCCATTAATTTAGAAAGGTTTAATGATTTCAACAAAAATTTTTATAAGGGGTTTTGGGGTTTTGGGGTTTTGGGGTTTTGGGG